CTACAATAACATCGTAGGTTAGATCCTTTTTATCGACGTAACTTTACTTCATGTGTTATATATATATATATATATATATATATATATATGTTTTTCATTTTATCAATAATAAATGAAACTAATCATTCCGTAGATAAAGAACGATAATTTGATCAGCCCGTAAAAATGGGGTCTATATAAAGTCTGGAAAAAATACCTAGCAGCACCTGTTCCGCATCTGGGGATGGGTGGGCAACAACATAATGAAATCATTGCGTGATGAAAGAAAGGTCCTTATGACGACATTTCGATGGAACAGGTCGGCTAGTTTTCACCTCTAGTATTTTTGACCCCTGCTGTAGTTTAAATCGAACAGCTGAGAACTACAATGAAGTGTCTCATAGAATACGATGTAAGTGAAAAAAGTGACAGATCACTTGGCCTACGAAGATTCCAGCGCACATCGCAGCGTATAGATTGTGTCGTCCGCAATAATAAACAATCCGCACAGATGCTCTGTGCAATGCTTCTATATTTAGAGGGAAATGCCCTCTTAAAACTACTTGTGCATTTGTATGTATTACACTTTTTCCAGATAATAGCTGATTTAATAAAGAAACGGCTAAAAGTGAGGCCTACATAAAATGTCAATTCCTGTCAACTATACGGTACAGTTCTGCAAACCAACCTCAAGATAGCTAGGCCGTCATTCAGTTGCCTACCACTACAAGGTTGCCCATGTTTAAAACCCGCTCATAGCCACGTGTTATTATTTCGATATGAAGCGGGATGGTAAAGTGATTCTTCATAAAGCTCAAGTGGAGGCTGAAGCAGTACTCAAAGACAGTACCAAATATAAAACTTGACACAGTAGAGTGCGGAAGTGTAATAGATGTGCATAGTAGTAGATGTTCCGAAGGTAAACTAGGCCAATAATTTACTTGGCTAAATGCAGGAAAGCTAAATAGTTTCTATGTCGGCGTCACCCCAGCGATCCTTTGCCAAGCACCCCTTTGGCTAAACTAGCCACACTGACCAGAGCCCGCGCTGCAACTGTCGAAGACCTGATTTTTGCTACTAAGCGATGTTTTAGGATGTCGTGCCCCCATTAACTAACCTGATACAGCCTCTGAATCGTTCTCAATGAGTAGCACTTTTTTGACATGCGTGTGTAATCAATGCTTAACTGTCGGACCGTTCAGTTATCGTTAAACTTCCATACTTTTTAACGCGGGGCAAAGTGATTTCTAATTCGAGTTCATGCACAAAGGAGCGTGCCGATCTTAAACCTTAATATATTTATAACTTCGACGACGGTAATGAATAACCTGTATTCTAAAAGTGCCCTTCAAAAACTTATCACGTACCTATATATAGTTTTTATAAGCACACTAGTGTTGTTAGCGTTCGAAAGTAGCCAAGTGAAAGCGAATTGGCAACCGTTAAACGCGTGATTCTTTTTTTCGACTATTTACAAAGCGAAATCAGGTCAAAGCGGATTGGGTCTTTGTGAAATTTCTCTCCGAACTGGTAATTTGCGTGCCGCTGTTTCGCAATGCCCAAATCGTCGTATGTATGTCTCCTACTGGACAGTGGGCGGTTAATCGCTTGGCTCTTTAGAATCTGCACCCGGTATAATTTTTAGACAAAAACATGATGCTTTACTTTCGAATAAGCCGTACTTCCTCGCCGACAGAGAATTACTTTCATTATCTATACAATTTGACCTGTGTCATTCTGAGATCCAGCTCCTGGGCACATTGTGAAAAGCGGCCTCCTTGATTTTGGCGACGAGGTTGTCGTGCCAATAATTTTCGGGCTTTTTTTTTATATTGAAGGCCATAGAGGAACTAAAGGATTGGCCTTATTTGTCCGAAGTGGGGTCATGTTGTCCGATGTGTTTAGTAATCTTTATGGTGATTACTGTTGTCAACTTAAAATGTTACTATAGATAACTGAATTTCTGGTATAAAATCCTACCTTGGCTGTACGAAAGCCACCTTTAGCTTACTGAAAATGGCCCTCACGTCTTCTTATCCATGTATTTTCTATGATCTACAATGCCGCTAGCATACGAAAGAAAATTATACGCGTGTATTAACCCTGCTATGAGACCAACAGAGGAAAATTGAATACCTGAATGATGGGTTGGCAAGTAAACCTTTTTTTTTCCAATGCTCTACAATGAAATCGTGTAAAATTAGCTGAACTTGATACCTTGTGTGCATGTTATCATTGAGTATTGTGATCATGTTTGGATTGAATTAGAACCTGTCGTAGTCGCCACAAATTTGCAATACGCAATGATCAAAACATGATAACGTTCATGCTCACATAGACATATATCTAAAAGGATACGATATTCTAGATAAAAACGTCGTGTAAATCGAGCGTTCTACATCAAGCGTGTCGTGCTTCGTCTCTTTTTCTGAAAGAAATAACTTTATATTCGTGTTAAGCAGCTGTACGATTGAAAAGTAAGTTGAAACAACCGTCTTGGCCGTCCATGCTGTGTAACACTCATTGTTGACTATCAATTCACTTGTTTGTCTATTACTATTATTAATATTTATGTCCTATATGATTTTTGTGTAGCTACTCCGCCTGGATGCGTAACTTAACTTAAACGTCACTTCGCAATTCTAAGTGGTCATTATGTTTTCGGTCCCAAGAGCCAATCATCCAGCTTGCGCGTACTCACAGAGCGAAATTCGATTTCTCGTACCTGACGGCATAGGCTTTTTACACTGCTATTCAGCAAGTTCCGTAACTGATAACGATTGTCTTCTCTGCAGTAGAAAATACCTTAAAGATAAACTCATAATAAACGCTAGCTTAGCGGATTGATGTCCTATGAAATCATGCGTTAATGGTGCAGCAGACGGCGCGCTGCGAAAAACATTGTTAGATTGACAAAGCACTTTGCCTGTTTATATACTAACTGTCCATTAACTAGCTCTAACATGTAGTAGCTTTATCAGTATGCGGTACCTGATAAAGAGTTCGTTTTGAGACCGCCGGAAGGGAAAAGGTGATAAGTCGGCCTTCCATTCTCTTCGAGCTTATTAGCATAGTCCACATATATATATATATATATATATATAGCAAACTTTTGTTCGCTTATCTTCGGCTAAGGGGCATCCAAGGATAGCTGTACGCCATTGTAAACCACTGTCGTTTCGATAACAATGGTGGTGGCCACCTAAACAGCGTATTACTTACTATTTCCGAAAAAAAGAATACTAAATTCGAGCTCTTCAATACCGGCTTCGTTCATTTCTTTCTAACGAAATAATCACTATCAATTTTAGACTAGCTCCCGAATTTTCCATCAAAGTTCTCGCTAAGGTACACTTTCGACACGGAAAGCCCAGTCAGAAAACGATGAAGGACCAAAAGGCTTGGTAACAGAACAGTCGACAGTATTTTATTAGGATGGTCGTACACAGGACCTTATAAATACGTAAGTAATTATGCCGTCGCTCTGACTGCTTTCATCTATTCCGTCACTAAAATTTGTTAACGATCTTGTTACCATGCCGCACTTATCATCAGCCTGTTATAGATTCTGGCTCGCGTTACACCCGACCTAGTAACAAGCGTTACCCAATTGTCGAACTGTTACATTTACAATTTTCCTGTTGTTATTCTGAAACCCGGCTGTACTGCAATACTTCCGTCACCCCGTTGCAGCTGTTCGGCTATAAGAATTCTATTTTTCTGATTCAGGAAATTTACCACATTATTATCTTACTAGACTGATCCCAATTTCTTATTGAAGTGCCCTTCTTGCAACTGGTCTATTGTTAAGTGCGCGTATCGTGCTGCTCGGAAAAAAATGACTAACTTCAACTTCAAAACCACGAATATAAACTTGAACGATGCCTATTTTATCTGTACTCGTGGAGTACAGCCGTGCACTCACCACTTGTCTAAGGCCTTATTTAATTTTATCCTAAGTATAAGAAGTGCCAGCTTTCCAGCTGAAATCTTCAAGTACGTAACAAAGGTCATACCACCGCATTTTATATATTTTTATTGACAAGCTTCATCTCCTAGAAAAACCATTTCGACATTACTATCATTATTATATTGGTTCACTTCTTAATAGTAGAAATGTGAGAGGTTCGAACTAGGTTTAGCCAATAGAATTATGAATACGCAGTAAAAAAAAAAATAGGAATCACGAAGACGTTTTTGGTAAGCTTCGCCTTATAACATAGTTGAGATCACGTTTTTCCGTTAAATAAATATTATATAGAATAAGATATAAAGAAAACCTCCAGCGCGTATATCTGTGTCAATATGTACCACTGCCTTCTATTCGACTTAACTGAGTACGAATCCGTGCGGAGAAAATCCTGTTACATCTCAGCCGCGGGCAAATAAGTGGGGGACGCGTTTTTGTGTTCCTTTTATGAAAGTTAGCGGCGGCTGGTGCGATATACCGTGAGTAGAATGTAGAGCCCTCCTATATGTTGGATAGTGAAATATTCCTGAGATTTATAGATTCAAGGCGTTATTGGCATACTCCGATACACTGCGAATTGCAGTTCCCAACATATGGAACTGAATACAACGTTATATATCCATCACCGCCCTTATGACAGTGACCTATTTATACATGAAATAAGGCGCATATGAATAGATCATAAGTCTAGTTTCTAGAAGGAAGCACTAATATATACGAGTGTATATATATATACACTCGTATGTCGATTGGCTTCATAAAGGTATTCGAATGTTTAGAACGATGTTCGAGCTTCAATGACTGCGCTTTGGGTATAAAGTACTACGTCATTAGAACATATGTACCGCTTGGCTCAGCCCGTCTTGCGCCCAGAGGGTGGCCGCTATAGGCGAGGCAGTGAACGCCCTTGCCATTCACGTGTAATGTAAATCACGGTCTACAGGATTTTTTCTCCCAGTGGAGTGGTCTTCAGCCAAAACAATGGTGACACCCCTACAAATTCATGTGAAATTTAACTTTACTAAATATCGTTGTGCTGCCTCTGTTTCAGGCGACACATCAAGTATCGTCTCGAGCCCGGGTTGATGGATTTCCAATGAAGATCGCTTATTGAACAATCCATCCGCGCGGATTTAAACCACTGAGCACTTCTGATTAAAATGAACCGATTCTAACCCGCTGATTCGATCTCACTAGTACAAAAAATAGTGACAATCACTATAGCACTGTAAGTATGATGCTCGGATCAATCGTCATAAGTGCTTGCAGCGTAAAGTCGTCCTGAACGTTAGACCTGTTGTGAATTTTTCGGAAAGCTCATCCCTCTCCTACGACTTGTTTCTTTGCTATCGCCAACCTTTTTTGCATCTTTACAATAGCTTTGATTGTGTCACTTTAATGAGAGCGGGACAATCATCAGCCTAAAAGAAGAAGGCTGGTAATACGTCAGGTGCAAACTAATTCGGATACCCTCGTGTCGCAAGCTATTTGTGCAAGACGTCTCGGTTACCGATCGCAATACGTTCTCTGGCAGTTAGCAAGCAATTAGTTTCGTTGTCAAAACAGTGGAGAGAAAGCGTCGTAGAGCGGAGAGATGAACTAAAGGGAGACGCGCGACCACGTACACTCACAGGCGACAGCGGTACCCGCGTCAGCAGCAACCGGCATTTGCCAACCGCGACGATAAAACTGCGACTGGCCACTGCCGCCTGTCGCTGGCCTCGTGAAGACATTCTCCAGTTATACCAAGGCTTTTTTTCTAGATGGTGTCCGAGACAGTCGCAGACGAATACGGCAGGCTATCATCTATTGATTTCTATGTTTCTATTTCCGTCGCCGATTCGTAGTATGGAGTTGCTATTAGTTTCAGTTCATCCAAATCACGTGCGCGCCTGCCGTTACCGATACTTAAGCTGATAGTAAACGCCTCGACATGTTTGAATGACGGGGCCAGTCAGTTACGACATCCCGTGTTCGCGACCGGCACTGCTGTTTTTTTCTGTTTGTTTGCCTTTTCCCTTCTTTCATCTTCATTTTTCTACTACTCGAAGTGCCATATGTTGTATAGCAGCAGAACCGTCGTAGAGGGTGGCAACTATACGGCGGCTGTCGTGTAGGGGCAACGGTGTACGATGATCGTGAGGCTCTAAGAGCGACCCCTGAGCTGGGACATATCCAACCCATCTGTTTGTATGCTTGCATTTATTCCAGTAAATAAGGTACACAAGAATTACACATTTGGCTGCTTGCAGTGCCGTGGCTTCCTGCTGAACTCAGTCGGGAAAATTTTGTGAGGTGTGAAGAAACGGACGAGCTAGTGTTGAAATTCACGTCGATAGCAATCGAAAGAGGTGATCACAGCGTAGAGACGACAAGGTGAGAGCTTGTGCAATGTAAGTTGTCATCTAAATAAGTTTGCTAATAAAATTTAATATTTATAACTTGCAGCGTCAGTTTTTGCTACTACCAAAGCACACTTTATTTCCTATGGTAACTGTATAGTAGTTATATTTATATCCAATAGAAAGGCGAAAATACGAGCCGTATTTATAGCTTTAATTTTTACATTGTATACAAATGGAGTACTTTAGATTGCTACTACGGGATAGTAAACTGGAATTATGTAACCCTCTGTTTCTTAACTAGCCCACTGAAAAGCTCAGCCGACGCCATTGAGAACTGTGTAAAAAGTAGGAAGATCCGAGAGAAAAGAGAGGTCTTAAATATTTCGGGCTAACTTAAGGACGCAAAGTTGGGTCAGTTACTTATATTTGCATATGGGCGTAATATAAGTAAAATTAAATTGGGCTCATTATAAAGAGGAAGAGTCAGTAGTCTGAGATAATGGGACTTATTGCAGAACTCGGAAAACCTGCATAGCGCTTAACTAGCTAACAGTGCGTATTTCGGTGAGCAATAGAAAATATTACCATACAAGTGCCAGTTGGCATGCCTGTAAGGTTTCAACAACATCCTGGGAAGTTATGCCTGGCAGTATTAACTGTATGCTACTTCTTGTACTTGTTATATGAACGTTGAAGCTTGCTGCTCCGCTGTTTAACACAAGAGGATGCCTAAACAGGAACTTACCAAACGTCCGGCGGTAACCTATTTCATATCACGTTCAATATACAAGTCTAAGTTGGTATTCGCTGCAACAAGTCAACCTATCTTTTTTCTCAATGCAGCTCCACTCGTTAAAATCGCCCTAAAACGTTGCGTTTCTATGCATTAATTGTTCTCAGACTGCTGGTGACCCAATGAATTGGTACGTTTTTAGAGAACCCCTCTCCTTAGGTTCTCTCCTCTTCTCACACCACAGAGTTAAAGACACCACTGGAAGCGTCAACATCTCATAACGAACTAAATAAATGAAAGTATAAATCAACTTATTGAACGACTATTTACGTGACAATGTAGACTATTGCTTGGCAAAGATAATGGTAATGTGACAACAAGTATTCAGAGTGGAAGTACCGTTGCAAGTATGGCGAAAAAACGTCAATAGACAACATACGATGAACGGTCCGTCTTATAATTCTTACATTATTAAAATGATTTTTTACTTTTTAAGTTTAGTTTAGATTTAAGTGGAGTGAAAGGAGTCGAGGTTCGATGTCATTTTGGCAAAGGATTACAATCTTTGTTTTTGGACAATTAGCTAGTAATTTACCAAAGAAAATTATCGTCTCTAAGGTAACGATGCTTGTAAACGGCGTGTTTTTGTTTTTACCATGCTTATTTAATCATGTACATGCCCAGTCTTTGATCTAGCTAGCCAGCACTTGTTACTTGATTACCTGAGGCGAACCGCCTGCAATGCTCTGGCAGTGGGCGGATTTAATCTTAGGTCAATGCTTGAGTGATAGGCTAGAATACGTTGATCGCTGTAAGTGCATCGTCTCCGAGAACGAAATGCTTAGTGTAGCAATCGTTACTTCCAGATACGGTCACAATTATTGTGACACAGATATTGTGATACAGATGTCCCCGTATATGGGGTCTGTGTCGTTAGCTTTGATATATGACGGCATAGGGCGATTGTCATTGCCCAGATCTGTGCTTTATAGCTATCTCCAACTTGGGAGAGTCGTAATCTTACCAAGATAAAAAAAAAACCATCGTTTCAAGGAGGATTCATACATATTGACACTTATGCAGTATGTATATTTCACAATACGCAATATGGAAACCGTCTTTACTAACAAAGAGGTGATATATCACGACGTTGTTAGCTGATACTTAAAGCACGACGGCGAGCAAGGAAGATATTTTTTTGTATTTCGATAAAAAGTAATAGGGAAACGCAATCAAATTAAATTTTCATCTTTACGAAAAAAAAAAAAATCAAGTCTTTCTGAAAAGATCTTGGTATTTTTCGTGTTCTCATTGGCTAACCTATTGAATGTGGGGTACTGGATCTTACTTCGGGTTAACAAGATTCGTTTAGTAAACAGGGAACCAATGATCCACAGACGGAAACTAGGAATGTCTGATAATTTCATCACAATTTAACTTTAGAGTATTTTGATTAATGCAAAAGTTAATATGGTTTCTATGGATCCCTTGCCATATCAGTCGATTCAGGTGAGAGTTACCTTTTCGCCTGTATGAACACCTTGAAGAACATGATACGAAAACATCAAATTGCTTAGGCCGATACCGATGGTCTAATTCTATCAGTATTTTGTCATGGTGATCTTTAAGACCATTTGTAAATTAAATTGGAAAGTTTTTGCCGCAACGTGAATGGCTTATCAGTCCAACAAAAACGAAGGCTAAAGGACGCGGTAGTATTCGCACGTTATCATTGCGTTAGTGTGATACGATGTATTATACAGAATTGTCCAACGTTCTTCGTCGCCATCCTGTAAATTCTCATAGTGAGCTTACGATGACGCCATGTTTTCCCCGCTAAAGATATACGCCTCCATATTAAGCTTACTCCACCTATATGTAGCATAATACATGTTGCATTATGAACGTAACACGTGAGATCGTTTTACTGGTGGTCACCCAACTTTTCTCCACGGAAATTGAAGTAATAATCAGTCCTCAGTATCAGTCCCCCATACGTCCGTCCATATACAGACCAAAACAAGACATTGTCCATAATCCTATGTTGCTTGTGGGATATTAGAGTGATGTGCTCCCACAGAAACGCGCCCCGATAGACATGTCCTTTCCCTCCGCTGTGGGGCAGCAAGGTGTGACGGTTCTTGGCCGAAAGTCGTTGTCGCAGCCTGCAAACGGGTTGATCTACCGGAGGTTCTCTGTTTAATAATTAGTTCGCCTGTCCACAGTATAGCGGATTGTCATCACTGACTACTGCGATGTACGAAACGATGTCACTGTCATAGGTAGGAACTGCGAAAACCTATTTGTGTCAATTAGTCCCATTGCAAACTTGACATGTGTGATAGTATATATATATAAACATCTTTGAGAATGGTGTTTAGATACGTAGTATTTGTATTCGATGGCTGCGAACGTAATTTAACAGATGTCGTCGACGCGCATACACTTACTTTCTACAATTGACCCTTCGTTGACGTTTTAATATTGAGCACTAGAAGAAGAGGTTATATGCGAACTGATTTAGATGCGTTGCTTAGGGATTATACGTGAAGCAGCCTTTCATCAAAGAATATGTCGAAATCCTATTGACTGACTACTTTACGATGATCTTCTTTATAATGCATCATTTCCTCACGGTGCAGCATGAAAGATCGCTACGTCACTACTACTCCCAAGACTACATCAATTTTCGCTTTGACCAATAGAGCACAATGGATGAAAGACTGTTATAGGTGAGCATCCTATAAACAATCCTCTACCCATAAAAAGGCCTCTGAAGCAAGAGTACAGCACCACCGACCTTGGATGAAAATACGACATCGAAAATCGGTTAAGGATCTGTTTTAATACAACACACAGATTAGTTATAGTTTTTTAATTCTTAGCAAGATCTACCAAGTCAATTAACTCAAAAAAAATATTTATGTAGAAGAAGTTATGTAGCCGGCTTGTGCATTGTACATACCTCTATCATAAAAATGTAATGTTTTTTGTAGAAGGAGAAAAATGCATCACTGGCTTTCCGATTGACTGGAAATTGTCTCCATTTAGAAAGGCCACAACAAAAGAGGCCACTCATACGATAAAATGGTGCAATCCGCCGTCAAAAATTATACTCAATAGCACACGTCACTCAAAGTGTACATCGGGTTTTCTTTTAATAGAAATATGAAATATCTAAAAATGATGATTACGTAAAGTAGCGGATCACGTCTAATTCCAGAATTCATATGGTTCAATAACAGCAATAATAAGATATGGTTATTAAATGGTCTTATGGTATAAGCTAAGTCACAGCTGTCAGCTACCCAAAGTCGTAGCAAATTGATACACAGAGTCCAACGATTAATTTTGGGCCGATTATTTTACTTGGACATGATACATGCCGATATTTAGTATGAACGGTTATCTGAAGCGAATCTGTTCTGCCATCGACGCACGGGTCGCTACTATAACGACGGCGGCTGACTGATGTCTGCTGTAGGGGTCCTCTCTCACTAGAATCATTAATTATATTTGGCCTCAAGCCTCGAACCGGAAAAACAATATGGGCAAGAAAGGACCTTCGCATCTTGACGTGTTCCGTTGTTACGAACGACAAATCGTTCTTATTTCCTCTGCGACATCCAAACCTGTGCTTTTAAACTCTTAAACTTTTAACCAATATATCTTATGAGAAAAAATATATTCCGAAAGGATATCTACTCATGCATAAACAAGGTCAACTACGTAAGTGTTTAGCTGTGGGAGGATTGGGGCAATTGGAATATGTCAGGTTTATTTTAATTATAGTGTGTCACAATCAATTGTCCTTAGAACGTATCAACGTGCGGTCCTTTGAGTCGTGTCCATCAAAGGCCAATGGGTGGTTCTTTATCCTTGTGCCATCAACTTACGTCACCCATTTGGAATCTTGTAGGCCGAAAAGGAGACTGACGAAGAGTACAAGGAGGTCAAAATTTCCACCAAAAAGTCCACACCGATTATGTCCACGGCATCAACTTCTACTCGAGAAATTCATAGTGGCATTTTGCCACCTTTTATCGTCGTCTTCGAAAGACTGTCGTGGCAATCTTAATCCAAACGTCAGCAAAAAACGAGGTCAATAACATAACAAAGGCGAACATTTTGAATTCGAAAATTGAAAAAAAAACATTTAGTCTATCTTTGATAATAAAATAGCTACAATCCAAAACTCTTTTATGCAGATTGAGAGATTTACAATTCTGCATAGCATCGACAGAAAATTTAGGATGGCCTCCAGTCTGCCATAAGCCTGTTGCGAAAATGAGCAATGC